CAGGAGCAGTGAGCCAAGTCCTCAGCAAGGATAGGGAAGTAAAAAAGGAAAAGGAAGTGACCTGGTGCAAGGCGAGTATGTGACACTACTATGTAAGGGCCATCAGTAGAAGCTTCCTATTGGTACCTGCCTCATTGTGAACTATGCACATTGTCTCCATCTTCTTCAGAACTGACAGTGAAATAAATGCCCATCAGAAGTGTGTATCTGCCGGCGCCGCGGCTCACTAGGCTAATCCTCCGCCTAGCGGCGCCGGCACACCGGGTTCTAGTCCCGGTCGGGGCGCCGGATTCTGTCCCGGTTGCCCCTCTTCCAGGCCAGCCCTCTGCTGTGGCCAGGGAGTGCAGTGGAGGATGGCCCAGGTGCTTGGGCCCTGCACCCCATGGGAGACCAGGAAAAGCACCTGGCTCCTGGCTCCTGCCATCGGATCAGCGCGCTGCGCCGGCCGCAGCGCGCCGGCCGCGGCGGCCATTGGAGGGTGAACCAACGGCAAAGGAAGACCTTTCTCTCTGTCTCTCTCTCTCACTGTCCACTCTGCCTGTCAAAATAAAAAAAAAAAAAAAGTCAGTGTGTATCTTGTTTTATTTTATGCAGTATACAGAAAATTATTTGTTTTGTCTTTTGGTGAATTTTTGGTGGAAGAAAGAATGCTTCAAAATGGACAATGGAATGTAGTAGAAATTACTTGAAATCCTGTATCTCTTTATCCTTTATGTAAATACCTAGTTCACATTTTAAGTTAATGAACAAAATTTTAAGCTGATTTAAAAATGTGGAATTAAATTACTTAATAGAAGTCACTCAGGATCAGACAGCTAAAATTTATTATTATTTCCCCATTTAGAAATATGAGCCCCCTCAGATATACGTACTCAGAAACAGCCCATAGTTGTAAAATAGCTTGTGTCTTTTGAGCTCTCAAAAAATTACTTCTCAGGGGTTGTTTCAATTCGTGTATAAGGACAGAATGGATTAAGCTATGCTGCATTAACAAATATCTCCTAAATCTCAGTTAATTTCTTTTTGCTTATGTTTCATGGCCAGTTTGAACAGATGTGTGTGTGTGTGTGTGTGTGTGTCTGTGTATGTTTGGGGGCAGGTTCCCTAACTGTAGTAGTCAATCAGGGATCTCAGCTTGACAGAGGTTCCATGTTGGAATATGTTTTCAAGATCACAAAGATAGAAAATGGGGCAGCTGTCACACTTGGCACTGGCTTTTGATACTTCTTCCTGGAAGTGCTATATATCTCAGGTTCTCACACTTCATTGTTGAAGCGGCTACATGGCTATGCCAGTTTTCAAAGGGTTTAGAGTGATACAAGCTGTGAAGAGACCAGACAGCAATCAAAAATCAGAATATCAGTGCACAGCTCTAATCACTACAACAAACTGGAAAATGACCCATGGTCTCACAAATAATCCAGTGATTATTACAAAAGGAGAACAAAAATTCCAGATTTTCCTATTGTCCCTGAAGATTTATTTCCAAATGTTTAGGAGATGTTAGTTAAAAATTAAGGAAAGTTTTAGATAAGTAGTACTTTGAAAGAAATAGCAAAATACTGATTTGTGTTTGTGTAAGATGATGGAACTCTATCTGATAGCATCTCTGTTCAAGCTAACTATAGTGTTATATTGGGATAATCTGTCAACAATTCTTAAAGAGAAAATGTTTGGAGTCTTGCTACCCAAAATGTGTCTAGGATCCAGAAGTATCCACATCACCTGGGTTAAATGCAGCTTCTCAGGCCCTGTCTCAGCTCTACTGAATCAAAATTTCATTTTACCAAGATTCCTTGGTGATCCATGTGTATTTGACAGGCACTTGATTAGGCTATCTGGGGGTATACCTATGAAACTAATACTATATCTTGTTCGAAATTACACAATTGGGGCCCTATGCTTCATCAAGTTTTATTTATAAAATATGGATTTTCAAATTGTCAGAGGACTAAAGACTCAAAATGCTTATAGCAGTTATTAAAGAATTTTGATTGCATAATATTTTGCTTGTTAGGTAGGTCTTCTGGAACTGGCATCTTGTTTCTCTAATCTGGAAGGGAATGCAGTTGTGTGATGCTACTTTAGCTGTCAGAGGAAGACAAATAATACTACACTGGGCATGACCTACAGGTCCCATAATATTGAATTGTAAGAAGTACAGGTTCTCCACCACCCTTCTTTGGATTGCTCATTAGGTTCTCAAAGGCAAACTGGTTTTCCTAAACTTTATGGAAGGCATAAGTTATCATAGCCTATTTCAGACTCCACCCATTCTGGAGAGAGGGTATTATTCTGGTGTATTTAAATGACATTATATTATTAACATTAGCACAGTAGTGTACATCAGATTTTGTCCCTAAAATCAAGAATGTGTCCACAAATACTGAAGCAGTAAAGTTGGAGTGAAATGAAATGAAATGAATTCTATGAAATTAGTTCCTCCCGGAATAGGAGCAGGGTACTTTTTGAAGTTTTAGCTAACAAAATCCTGGTCACCTAGGAAAATGTAAATATGATTAGATACTCAACAATAAGGCCTAGATTTGTTTAATGCCTGTTGTGAAAAGAATTTGACTCTGTATCAGTTTCTTATTATAGTCACCACCTGGGGACAGAAAGAAGCTACAAACAAATTGCCATACATTTTGTGGCTCTATGTAACATAAATAAGACAAAATTTATCCACCTCAGTTTTATGATGTATTCTCCTTTATACATGGCCCTTTCACAAAACTACTGCTACAAGGTACCAAAAACATTTAATGAGAAACATAAAACACGTGCAGATAAGGTAGGAAAATATATATGTATTCAGAGTTACTAAGAGACGCCTCAGTTATCATCCTTATAATTTAGATGTCTTGACAGGGTTTTATTCCCAGCTGTTTGTAGTAATATTGCTGCTACCCTGAAAATAAGCACATTTTATCATTGGTAGATACATGAAGCTTGGATGGGGTAGTTATAGCATTGCCTCTGGGCTCCATTCAATTAAAATAAACCTGTTTCACAGGAAAGTATATCATGTTGCCTAAGTGAAATAGGAGTCTAAACTGAGCACAACTCAAAAGAAACACAGTTGATCTATTATTTGGGAAAAAAAGGGGGGGGGTGTTTTTGACATCCTTATCTGACCTGTAGGAGGTCAGAGGTTACACAGGATTTCCTTATAGAAGAATGGTGGTTGCCTACAGGACATGTGACCAGAATTTAGAATATATATATATATATATTTTTTTTTTGGACAGGCAGAGTTAGACAGTGAGAGAGAGAGACAGAGAGAAAGATCTTCCTTTTTCCGTTGGTTCACCCCCCCAAATGGCTGCCACAGGCACGCTGTGCCGATCCGAAGCCAGGAGCCAAGTGTTTCCTCCTGGTCTCCCATGCGAGTGCAGGGCCAAATCACTTGGGCCATCCTCCACTGCCTTCCCCGGGCCACAGCAGAAAGCTGGAATGGAAGAGGAGCAACTGGGACAGAACCAGCACCCCAACCGGGACTAAAACCCAGAGTGCTGGCACCGCAGGCAGAGGATTAGCCTAGTGAGCCGTGGCGCCGGCGATATAATGTTCTTAATGCCATGTAAATTAATCAGGCCATACAAAGCTTCTCACAAGATCAGAAAAGCTCTTCTCTCCCCTCATTGCCTGTGAGCCATGCTTTCAATTACTGCTTTCTCAAAATCATTCAGGAAACTACTGAAGACCATTAACAGGTTATTGGGAAGCCCAAAGTTACTGCCCAAGGACAGCAAAACATACTGGCTCTTTGTAAAACAGCCTGGAAAAGAACATGCAGAACATTGCCACTGGGTCGGTATTAAATGGTTTTCTTCTCAGAACGCAATGTGCAGTAGCTGTAATTTAGTTGTTAACAGAACATGCTATGCAGTCAGTCTTCAGGCCTCTGTGTTTCCTGTGGCATTTCTTCCCAGGGAGAGCCTTGGCACAGTCATGGTGTAGCCTCTTTCAAGTAATTAATTGCTCAGCTGCTCACCTTATTTTGCAAGGCAGCTTCTCTGCTGTCATTCAGAAATTATTTTATATTTGTTTTGTTTTATATTTTATATTTGTTTATCATTTAGTTTGCTAAGGTACACTCAAAATTTTAAAAAATATTTATCTATTTGAAAGATAGACAGATCTTCCATCCACTGATTTACTTCCAAAATGGCTACAGTCTCCAGGGCTGCACTAGGAGGAAGCCCAAGCATTGGAGCCATCATCTGCTTTCTTCCAGGGTGCATCAGCAGGAAGCTGGATGGGAAGAGGAGCAGCCATGACTCCAACCAGCACACTGATAGGGCATCCGGGTTTCCCAAGAAGTGGTTGAATCTGCTGCATCACAATACCTGCCCCCACAAATAAAGTGAGACAGGACACGTTTCTTCTAGAATTTCTATATATATCATAAGGGAATGCTTTCCAGTGATCATGTAACCTTATTTCCTACACCAGTGTGCATCTTAATAAGATATCACACTTGTTTCAGTGTTGCCTTACTTTCCATGAGGCTTCATTCATTTATTCACGCAACGCATATTTACTGAATACAAGGGACTCTTTTAATTACTGAAGGTTTTTAAATGAACAAAACAGACAAAAATCCCCACCTTCAAAGTACTTACATTATTTTTAAGTTGTTGCAACTTTATGTTGACTCTTAAAATAAAACTCCTCAGGTGATAAAATCAAACTATTTGGCCCCTACCACCTTCATCCATACCTCCAAGTCATAGTTAGAGTCTAGAGGTAACATTTAGGAACCAGTGACTTTGTGTAATGTTCTAATCATTTTACAGAGCACCCATTTAGTCCCCAGAGTGATAAGAAGGTACTATTAAGATTCCTGTTACATAGGCAAGGAAAGAGAAAGAGAGATTTAGTTAAGAGGAAGACACAAGGTTAGATTTACTTTGGCTTCTTTAAAAAAATTTTTTTGACTTATTTATTTGCAAAGCAGAGAGAGACAGAGCTCTTTCATCCACTGATTCACTCACCAACTGGCCACAAGGCCGGGGGCTGGGCCAGGCTGAAGCTAGGAGTCTGGAACTCCATTCTGGTCTCCCAGGTGGCTTGCAGAGCCCCAAGTACCTGAGCCCTCAGCTGCTGCCTCCCAGGACAGGATGCATCCGCAGGAAGCCGGATCAGGAGCAGAGCAGCCTGGACACAAATACGGGACGCTGGAGCCCCACGCAACGTCCCAAGCCATGGGGCCCTTTGCTTTGACTCCTAAAGCCTTCCTATTCCAGGTGGCTCTTAGCACGTCTCAGATGACGGATGAACGAATGACCAAATGCACGGTTTTGAATTTCCATTCACTAACACCTTAAGTTATCTCCAGAAAAATCTAAGCATCTGCGGGGAGTGCAGTGAGAAGGGTGTCGGGAACTCAAGTGTTTTGTGGTGTTTTGAGTGAGTTTAGGTAGATGTTAAAGGCACACCCCACTCAGTCTCTGCTCCAGGGCCTCCGACTCCAGCTCTGCCTCTCAGAGTTAAGCTCATCAGCAGAGTGTTGAGGAGCTACCTCAGAACCCCTGGCAGCAGTATAGGCTGTCCTAAAGGTGAGGCTGACCCATAGAAGGGGTGAAACCAGCAGGAGGGGCTGCGCCCGCAAACCTCACATAGGATTCAGAAAGGTAGAGGGAACTGCTATGTGAGTTAAAACCTCCCTCAGTCTTAGTGGGGGTAAATGAACCACTCTTTTTTATTACCTCACAGCATGGCCCCAGGGTTCTATCCAGTTCTCTCAACCCTCTTCCGTTTTCCCGGGCCCTCTTTCAGCAGAGCACGTAGGCGCATGCGCAGAGAGTTCCCCAGCTTGGGGCCGCGGGAGACCGGGAGGCATCGATCGACTCGGCGCTGGGCTTCTCGACTTGTCGGCGCTCGATTGAGGAGTTTCATTGTCACTTCCGCCTTCGGCACCGTTTCCGGCTTCCGGTTGCTCGTGGGAACGGCGTAGTCCTCTGGTGAGTCGGATTCCCGTTTTCCTCGGTTTTGCGGTTCTTCACGCTGCTCAGCCCGAACAGTACGAGGCGCGAGGTGTGGTCGGGTGGCGTCTCGCCTTGGTTTTGTGGAGGGGTCGGTTTGAGACGAGGGAGCGGCCATGCAGGGGAGCTTAGCAGCGGCGCGCGTCTCTGGCGGGACTGGCGCGGTCCTTGGATCGCGGCGTGGCCCCGGGGCAGAGAGTCTGTGTCTGGAGAGGCAGGAAGCTGGCGCGTACAGAGTACGCCCGTTAATGCGAGGCGTGGGAGATTCCAGGTGGTTTCCTGCGGATCTGTTGTTTCTGTTTTGGCGGAGGGGAGAGGTGCGACACCAGGTGCCCTGCTCTGATTAGCCCAGCACCGAGCTTCTGGTCTCTTGTTCTCCTCGCCTTCACTTTAATCTCTCTCGCTCCCTTCTCATGGTCAAAACTTGGCGACCCCCTGCTCCTCTTCCAGGTTTCGACTGGGGAAATGTCGAGTCTTTAAGAAACGTTTCTATTCATCTGTCACCTGCACAAGTACATCGGTCTATAGGCTCCTCCCTCGCTGTGTGTAAACACAGCAAGCAGTGTTTAGTACCTAATTATCTGTGGGCCATCCAGGGAAGTAAAGCAAGGTCACACTTGGCAACTTAAAAACCACGTGAAGTGTGGAAATCGTCCAGTGGGTTGCAAGGACGGAATTCCCAGGCCTTCTGATCAAGAGCTGTGTGACCTCAAGCGTGCTCCCTGACTTGTAACAGCCATGATATTAGCTCCTTTGGGGGCTTCTGATGCAAGAGCTGTGCTAGAACTTCGGGGGCTCTGGCCAGCCCCGCCCCCACCTCAGCCCCGTCTGACAGATGAAGACCTGAGAGATTAAGGTCTTTGCCAAGTCTGTTAGAGGTCATCCTGGAGTGAAGATGGCAGGTGGAAATTTATGCACAGTGATTGATAGATATGGAAGTGCTTTGTAAGTGCACCCAGGAACAAACTACATTGATGTTCTGTCTTAACGATTTGTTCTGGATTGTACACTTGGTAGTTTCTTTTTCATTTTTCTTTATGTCAAAATTTTTAAACCAGCTTACAAATACAAGTTACTTCATTAGGCAGATGGGAAGTAGCACAAGTGAAAGGAAAGTATAAAAATGTATTGAATACAATTTTATTAAACTCTGGCAAGCTGCTGGTGTTTCACTAAATTTTGAGCTTGAGAATTGTAAAAATGAGGGCTTGCGGTTTGCATCTGATGTAGCAGTTAAGATGTCTGCCCCATGTCAGAGTGCCTGGGCTTGAGTTCCGGCTCTCGCTCCTGACTCCGGCTTCCGCTAATGCAGACCTGAGAGACAGCAGTGGTGGCTCAAGTGATTGGGTTCTTGCACACACGTGGGACACCTGGATTGAGGAGCCTCTAGCTTCACTTGACCTCAGTCGAGCTGGGCCACAGCTGGGCATTTGGGACGTGAAGCAGAGCTTTGGAGCTCATTGTCTGCCTCTGGCTGTGTGTGCGTTTGCCTCTCAAACAGAAATACAGAGGAGGACTAGCTATTGCTGGAGAGAGAGTCTATGACCCAACTGACATTCTGACATAGCGATTGAAAGAAAACGGAAAAGCCAACAGCTTTCTGCTGTATTGATTTAATCACACCTGTTTGTAACAGTTTTTTTTTTTTTTTTTATCCTCTCTTTAGGCTATTTGAACATTTTAACTCAGACATGGATATCAGACCAAATCATACAATTTATATTAATAATATGAATGACAAAATTAAAAAAGAAGGTAAGTGTTTTTAAAAATACTTATTGATAACTAAAATGTGTTTGTTTACTACCATCTTACAAAATTGTACTACACCCAAACTCATTTTTCTTACCTCCAGTAATAAATTTTTTTTTTTTTTTTTTTTTTTTGACAGGCATAGTGAGAGAGAGAGAGACAGAGAGAAAGGTCTTCCTTTTGCCGTTGGTTCACCCTCCAATGGCCGCCGCGGCCGGCGCATCACGCTGATCCAATGGCAGGAGCCAGGAGCCAGGTGCTTTTCCTGGTCTCCCATGGGGTGCAGGGCCCAAGCACCTGGGCCATCCTCCACTGCACTCCCTGGCCACAGCAGAGGGCTGGCCTGGAAGAGGGGCAACCGGGACAGAATCTGGCTCCCTGACTGGGACTAGAACCCGGTGTGCTGGCGCCCCAAGGCGGAGGATTAGCCTAGTGAGCCGCGGTGCCGGCCTCCAGTAATAAATTTATAAAGTTTGTGTAAGGATTTCCAGGCTTTTTAAAAACAAAAATAGGTAGTGACTGACAACATGCTGAATCTGTTCTTACTCATAGCTACTCATATAATGGTTTCAAATAACTTTTTACGTTAGATAACCAATGGGAATAGCAATTTGTGTTTTTACTTACATATATAACTACTAACTGTATAAATAAATGGTGACAGAGCACTCAATGTACTGTCATTTAATGAAGAATTTTCTCATTCCTTCGTTCACAAGTTATTTCCCCTCTTATTTGGACAGAATTGAAGAGATCCCTGTATGCCCTATTTTCTCAGTTTGGCCATGTGGTAGATATTGTGGCTTTAAAGACCATGAAGATGAGAGGGCAGGCCTTTGTTATTTTTAAGGAACTGGGCTCATCCACAAATGCTTTGAGACAGTTACAAGGATTTCCATTTTATGGTAAACCAATGGTAAGCCAGTACTGTTACTTTTGCTTTAATCACTATGAATGTTTCGTAGATTTGTAAATATATGCTTGAAACTGTGGTTTTTGCTTTCACTTTTAATTAAGTGTGTTATAGGGAGTTCGAGTTCCTTTTATTTATGTATTTTTTCATAGAAATACAGAAGTAGAGGTTAATTCATTCTTATGACAGTTCAAATAGGCAAAAACAGAATGCACTGAGATGTAGAATATTTTCAAAATAATGGCAGTATAGACAATGTTCTTGTCTTAAAAATACTGGAAATTAATAATAACCCAAAGATTTAAAATGATAACTAAACTTGTGAAGCAATATAAAACAAAAATTATGGATCAAAGAGGAAATCCAGTCTGAAGTTTCAGCGAATAGAGTAGTGAAAACCTTTCAGAAATTAGGCAGTCTAGGTAAAACATTGATCTTGGGGAAAGTCATAGGTTTAACACATAGGTTTTATGAAGGGCAGTGAGTGGAAATGGAATTTTTATACGTGGAGAGTGTTAAAACTTTGGAGTAACAGAAAGATTCACATCTGCTACTGGATGAAGATTGGACTGGGGAGTAAAGAGGGAGAGTACGGAATTCACTTGGTGTGAATCAGAGATGGTGGGGACTTGGATAAAGGTGGAGACAGTGTGAGGCAAGGCTTCTATGTGCCTGAATGAGTGCAGAGTACTTTGGGTGTGTGTTCCAGACTGTGTCTCTTCAGCAATTGGGATGAGAGGAGAAGGGATCTTAGCTCTGGGTCCCCATTCTGATTTTTCTGTTATCTCACTCAGAGTGTGCAGTGACTTCACTATCTCCGGAGTGCAGGCAGGCTGTGTATTCTTTGCTCTAATTCAAGCATCAACAAAAACTGTAAAGAATGAAATAATATTTTATATATTATGGGTCACACAGTTTCTGTTACCTGTTCTTTTGTGTTTGTTGCTTTTTTTTTTTTTTTTTTTTTTTTGACAGGCAGAGTGGACAGAGAGAGAGACAGAGAGAAAGGTCTTCCTTTTGCCGTTGGTTCACCCTCCAATGGCCGCTGTGGCCGGCACACCATGCTGATCCGAAGCCAGGAACCAGGTGCTTCTCCTGGTCTCCCAGTGGGTGCAGGGCCCAAGGACTTGGGCCATCCTCCTCTGCACTCCCAGGCCACAGCAGAGAGCTGGCCTGGAAGAGGGGCAACTGGGAGAGAATCCAGCGCTCCGACCGGGACTAGAACCTAGGGTGCCGGCGCCGCAGGCAGAGGATTAGCCTATTGAGCCGCGGTGCCGGCCTTGTCACTTTTTTTTTAAACAGCCATTTAAAATTGTATTTTAAAAAATTCTTAATTAGCAGGCCATACAGAAACAGGCTATGGACTGGCTTGATCCATAGGGTGTGGTGCAGACCACTGGTCTGATCCTTTGATTTTACAAATTGAGTCAGACACAAAATGGTTAATTATTCATTTAGGTTATTTTAATATGATGAGTAGCAGCATCAGGATGTGAAAACTAGTCTTGTAACACCTAGTAGGGTGGGTTGTTTTTTTCTTTCCAGTACTAGGAGTCAGCAAACTTCTATAAAGAGCCAGAGAGTAAAAACTTTTGGCTTTGCTAGCCATATGATCTTTGTTGCTAGGAGTCACTCAACTCTGCCTTTCTAGGAAGAAAAGCAGCCCTTAGGTGGTAAGTGAATGGGTGTGTGGTGTGGTTGTGTTCCAACAAGATCATAGGCAGTGTTGGCTTGTGGACTGTAGTTTGAGGACCCCTGTTCTGCACCATGCTGTCTGCCTCAGGACTGAGCAACCTGTTGTTTGTTGCAGGAGTAAGATTTCTCACCCTTTATCCAACTCTCTTATCCCATCCCTTCCCAGCTGACAAGGTACCATCTGTGTGGAAAGGTTATCCCGGGAAACTGGACTGGTTCCTGCATACACTAATTTTCAGCCAGTTGGCTTTTTCTGAGACCAGCTAATATTTCTTAATATTGCGAGGAAATAAATAATTGAGATCTGAGATAGCAGGAGCAAAGGACTGGATTTTAGTTTAGGTCTAAAATGGTAATTTTCTGTCATGCATTTAAGGCTGTTTTATTGAGTAGTGGTGATAAACTTGAATGTGCTTACTACTCAGATACAGGGAAGGTGGGAGTTATTGCTGTGTTTGGCACTAGCCTTACCTTGGCAAATAGTTACTATTTAAAATCAGTGAGAAAAAGTCCATTAATCTGATTTTTTGTTGGAATTATATCAGGATGATGGCAGGTACTGTCAAATTTTCAGCATTCTGGAAGAGAGGGAATAAAGTTCTTTGAGCTGTCTTGTTTGTATTCACTGAAGTAGTTCAGTTGTTCTCATGTTTGCACTCCACCGTACCAGATCAGAAATGAAAATAATGTGCTCTAGTTTGAAACTGGAATCAGAATTATTCTTTGTGATTCAAGGACATTTAATTATTTAATGCCAAAAAGACCATTTTTTTTGATGGTTTGTGTCATGAAAGATTTGTTATAAGTGTAAATCTTGCCCTTCTCTGTTTTTAGGTTGTGAGTAGACTTTCGGGTGTTTAGTCTAGACAGGGTTTCTCAGCACTGGAACTGTGGACATTTTAAAGCATGTAATACTTTGTTGTGAGGAACTGTCCTGTTCATTACAGGGTGTTTTCATAGTATCTGCCTCTGCCCCACTAGATGTGAGTAGCACGATAACCAGCCATGCCTCCAGATACTGTCAGCTGTCCCTTGGCAGATAAAGGCACCTCTGATTGAAAAGCAGTGATTTAGAACAGCCAGCTAAGAGCCCTTGTTGAAATCAGATGTTTTCACTTGTGACTGCTTCATAAGGGCAGGCATGCCAGGTCACTCAGGGTCTACTCAGGTCAGGGACAAACAAGGTTGAAGACCCAGGGGAGTAGAGAGTGAGTCCTTGGGGCCAAGTCAGTAGTTAGTCTTAAGCAATCAGCCTGCCTCTTTTGGTTGGAAGATGATGGCAAGACTGGCAGAGCTGCCAGCAGGGGTAAGCACAGCAGCCAGACCAGCCAGAGAAGTCCCGGGGTTCTGTAGTGTGCTGCTAAGCTTGCTCACCTTGCTTCCCCAATGTGTACATCTCTAACTGAAGTAAAGGAAAACAAAGAATTCGCTCTTGGTTTTGACAGACTCCCTGCTGTCTAATCTACGCTGCTAAAATGTCTCTTGTTTTCCTCAGACTAAGATCAAATTCTTGCTCTGTGAAACATTTTTATTTTATTCTTTTATTAAAATTTATCTGAGAGACAGAGAGCTCCTATCCTCTGGTTTACTGCCTAAATGCCCACAAGGACTGGAGCTGGGCCGGAGTGGGAGCCAGGAGCTGGGAACTCAATCCAGGTCTCTTATGTGGGTGGCAGTGACCTAACTACTTGAGCTGTTCATTACTTTGTACTTCCTAGGATCTAAGCTGGAATCAGGAGCCAGAGCTGGGAATTGAACCCCGGTACTCTGATGTGAGACACAAGCATCCTATTTTTTTATTTGAAAGGGGGGCATTTTTTTAGATAGGAATTTGTAGGACTGATATGTTTTGATGTAATTAGGTAGTATTCTTTCACTCCAGGGAAGAAATGTTTGTTTAAGTTGTAATTTGCTGATAGTCACATCCTAGATAACAGTTTAAGTCTTGGCAAGACTATTTACAGTTCATCGCTTTTAAGTCCAGCTGTGTGGTAATAGTTCTTGCCAGGACCAAACCTCTCATTCCCAATAGCATTGCCACCCTGTTTGTCTTGTTACTTGTACAGAATTGCAGGCCCTACCCACACTTGTTGCATCAGAATCTGCACTTTTCCAAGCTCTCTGGGCAGGCAGACTGCATATTCCATAGTTGATGAATTGCCATCCTACACCGTGCTTTGGAATGTGTCTCTCTTCTCACAGGTGGCTACCCTTCTTGCTTGTCTGGCAGAAGTGAGAATAAGCAGGTGGCCCCAGTCACACTAGCTGTGATACCATCCTTTTGTTTGCTTTCAAAGCCTTTTAAAATTAAGATAATGCCACCATTAAAGTCATTTCACTTAATTACTTTCCTTAAAAATAATACATTCAGAGGAAAGTCCTTCCAAGTCATCGGTGTACTTCAACCATTGGAAAGCGAATTCCTTATTTCACGTTCCATAGCTGATGGATGCGTATTGACCCTTCTATTGAGAGTAACTGGCAAGGAGTTGATGGCTTTCCAGTGCATTTTCTTTGTTACTGAATGGAAGCAAACAGTAGTGTAGATATTTCAGTCTTCCTTTTCCCAAATGAAAACTCAAGGTTTTTCTTGTAATAATCATAGTTGAATCTAACTTTGTCCGTGTTGTGAATCATAGGCTATAATTTATTTATATTTGCCACTCAGAATATTTTAACAGATTTCCTTAGGAATATGTTAAAAATTAGCTTGTAGTATATTTGTGTAATAACATTTAAAATATTAATAACTAGTCTTTACAGCCTTCAGCATAGTGAGACATAACCTGTTTTCATATACATAAAACAGCGAATCCAGTATGCAAAAACAGATTCTGATATAATATCCAAGATGCGTGGCACATTTGCTGACAAAGAAAAGAAAAAAGAAAAGAAGAAAGCCAAAACTGTGGAACAGGCTGCAGCAGCTGCTAACAAAAAGCCTGGTCAGGTAAGAGATTAGCATCCAAAAATAATTACTTCTGGATTGAAAGAAATGAGAAAAACAGTTTCACTAAATACAATGCTTGACTTTTGTCCAATTGTTTAAAAAAAAAAAGTAAGACTTATCCTTTTTATGCTCTTGCATATCTTTCCATAATCTTAAAGCTTAAATTTTATGAAACAGTTCTTTAAAATTAGAGCTAGACTTGTCAAAAATAGCTGACATGAATGTATGAGTCAGCGTTAAGAGGCTAAATCTTTACATAGAATTAGTACTCTTGAAATTTATGTTGTTTTTATACAGTACTTATGAATATGTGCTATTGTTTTGGAGGGATTGGAAATTTTAACTCTTTTCCCTATTACTTTTGTCTAGGTAATACCAAATTCAGCTAATAACCAAGCAAATTCAACACCAAATCCTCAGGTAGTATTTTTTTCCATGTAGTGCTTACTCTAGAATAAAATAAGAAAAAATTAATAATAATAATATAAAACAACTTGCATGTCTCCAAAAACAAGATGGTTCCATCTACAAGACATAGTGCTTTACATAGTATATCCTTTAAGAGTTCTCGGAATGATGTAATTTTCTTTAGGTGGAAAAAACAAAACCTCACTTGAGTCCTTGTTTCCCATTATCAGTCAGTGACAATCAAAATGACAGGTTTCAAAGTTGTGGGAGAACACTTTTGTCCCTGCAGTCTGTAGCCAGAGCTCTGCAGACCAGGACTCCAGGTAACTGGTGAGGCGCAGGCCCTGTGCGCTCCACTGACCCAAGCTCCACACCATCTTTTCTAATAAGTTCAGACACTCGTTGAGCAGCTGTTTCTCAGTTACACTTGCTCTCACTTTCTCAGCACAAATATATTTCAGCCTTATTTTTTTAAGCCTCTTGTATAAATGTTTTTAAAACTCCTTGTAAGATTTCCCCACTGAATGCCTCAAGCAGAAATCCTCAGTTATGGGCTATTGGTTTTGTTCTTGCTTCCTTCTCATGCCAGAGTTTGGCAGAATGCTTAAGCCCAAAGACTTCCCTGTATCACTGATTTTTTTTTTCTTCTTCTTGTTTTAAGTTACTTTTCTTATAAGGTCTACTTCCCTTTTTTGAACTTTTGAGGCATTTGTAAGCCACTTCACAAATGGTAGCACAATTCTCTGGGCCTTGAATTGTTCACTAATTGTCCTTTACACTTGGTATTTTCCATGAAACTAGCCTGAAGACAGAAAGGTCCTTTTCTTACTTACTTTTACTTTTCTTACTTACTTCCCTTTGCCTCTAATTCTCCATGACCTCAATGTAGGGTTTCCAGTGAATAGCTTAATATCTAATAGCAGTGTTTGTTTCTATTTGTAGGCTGCTAGTTACTATGCATACTTCATTTACTTGCAATAAAAAATTATAAATTAAGTCACCAAGTAGTTGTACCCGGTGGTAATCTTTCTAGTTCTAAAGTTTCTTTTATGGTGGAAGGTAGGAAATGCTACTGCCAGGGGTATTGAGTATGATAGTGTTTATCTGAGTCAGGTAACCAGCTGAGGAGGGCTAACGTTGCTACCTTCTCTAGTTTTGTTAGGATCTTTCAGTTTTTAGAAAATCTGATTCCCAGATGCTAAAATATAAATATTGTCTTGAATGCTATTAATTAAATGGTTTCAACCTTTAATAAACTTTGTAATCCCCAAATTTGGGCTGTCTGGACTTAATGCTTCACTCAGTTACTGTTAGGTATGTATTCCCATGGTGTTACTGTTCTTCTAGCTTTGGTGTTTCATGTAGTGGGATTTCACAGTTCTATGTAAACCAGGATGTACTTCTCAAATTTGGGCTTTAATGTAAGAACTAAATGGCTTACAATATTGTTTATACTTACAAACTGTCTTTGCCTCTTCTTTTAATAGGTCCCTGATTACCCTCCAAACTATATTTTATTCCTTAATAACTTACCAGAAGAGACTAATGAGATGATGTTATCCATGCTGTTTAATCAGTAAGTTTTTTCATAAACAAGTCTGTTCCCCACAGCCTCCAGAGAGGACAAATAGCACTTCCATGGGTTGAATACATTTGTCATCACACAGCAGTAACTCCTTTCAGGTGCATTGGTCTGGGATTAATCATGAATTGAAGCCAATCTGCAGATTTAGCAGATAAAAGCTTTACTTTCCTCTAATGTTTGAATTAGTAGTTTTAATTGATGAATAAAAGCAAGAAGCAAACCTTTGATAGAATGACAAAAATTGAATTAGCTTACATTACTCCTGTGGTTCTTTATAGCATTAATAATATTTAGGCTCTTGCATACTACTCAGGTTTCTTGTTATCGGATAGCAGTACTTTACCTGGACCATATCAGGAAGCTGCTCAACAAATTTAAACACATGGCAGACATTTATGTATTTGTATATATTAATGAATTATCTTTCTTCACAGGTTCCCTGGTTTTAAGGAAGTACGTTTGGTACCTGGGAGGCATGACATTGCTTTCGTTGAATTTGAAAATGATGGGCAGGCTGGAGCCGCCAGGGATGCTTTACAAGGGTTTAAGATCACACCATCCCATGCCATGAAGATCACCTATGCCAAGAAATAATGTGTGGGATGGTCACCTCTTAAGGACATGGCTTTATTTATAGTGTTTGTGTTGGTAACATTATGGGAGGGAGTGAGATTTTTGTGAAGGACTTAAAAAATAATGTAGTCTTTCTTTAGCCTTAGTGAACTCTGAAATATGAACGCCTTAATTTTGTATAATAAACTTTTATTTGTATTCTGTATACATAATGCTTTGTTTATTGGCCCATTGACCTATCATCAAACACTTATTCCGGTCTAGATCACTTTTTACGGTCTATAAAACTCTGTAATAGCATGCTTTTCTGGTAGTATTTGGAACAGCTAATGTTATAGCAACATTGAACCATTTTAATAAAAGTTATGGAGAGTTAGATCAACAGAAGCTAGTAAACAGCTGGTGAAAATGATCATCTTGTGTATTAGAAGAAAATGAAATATGGTCAGGATATAAATTTGATTAATGTATGCTTCAAAGAAGTGAGCACAATATTTACCTAAAGCGGGCATTTCTCAAATGTGTTTATTCAGTAAAAAAAAAAAAAGGCCATTTAGGAGTCACTATAGTTCCTGTTTTCTAAGAAAGTAGAAGAAAAGGGAGCACAGCCTTCAAACTGCATTTTACACACTCGCCTCCTGGACAGGCCAGTGCCTAAGGGATATAACAAGGTTAATGTAACTTAGTTGAAATTCAGGAATGCTAAGGGGAAGATTTTCCAATCTGAAATCTTTTTTTTATAAAGCAAATAGGTAATTGACCAAGGGTTGCCAGTACTAATCTTGCTGCTACTTTTGTAATTATTATTTCAAACATTTACAAAGCTCATTTTCCTTGGCATTTTATTTAGACTTAAGGCTATTGACTGCCAACAAAACCATGAATTTCTTTAGAAGTGGATTTTTTTTGCAAATATATGTTAAAAATCTTAGCTATTTTTATGTGTTTGAGTAGGTCATTGAATAAAAGCTTACCTTGTCACTTAGCATATAAATGTGGAAAGACCACATTTAAAATTAATGTAAACATAAGGTTATTACCACATTGTACTTGGGCATGCATAGCAAGGAAAGAACAATGCTTTTTATATTCCTAAAACTGTCAGATCCATAGTCTGACTTCTGAATATTTTAACCTAGTTGTAGAGCTCATTTATTTTCATAAAATATAATGTGAAATACTAGAGAAAATAACCATACTTTAGGGTGTTAAGTAGTGTCAATTGCAATTAACTTTTTTTTAAAGATTTATTTATTTATTTGAAAGGCAGAGTTACACAGAGAGAGGAAAGGTAGCGAGAGAGAGGTCTTCTATCCAATGGTTCACTCCCCAGTTGGCCACAATGGCTGGAGCTGCGCCCATCCGGAGCCAGGAGCTTCCTCTGGGTCTGCCACATGGGTGCAGGGGTCCAAGGACTTGGGCCATCTTCTGCTATCCCAGGCCACAGCAAAGAGCTGGACTGGAAGAGGAGCAGCCAGGACTAAAACCAGCGCCCATATGGGATGCCGGTGCTTCAGGCCAGGGCTTTAACCCGCTGCGCCACAGTGCTGGCCCCAATTGCAATTAACTTTATAAACTGTGTGCTCTCAGTTACTGAGAACAGAAACTCACAGAGTGAGGGTCTGTGTTAGGCTGGGATGGCTGGAGTGGGAGTGAGAATGAGGGAGGTAGCAGCATAGAAGGGGATTGGGTGGGCCTTTTAAGGTCTTGCTTGTACTCGAGGGAAATTAGGAATGATTTTAGAGAATTTTGAAAGTTGAGATAATTTACCAACTGAAAGTCACCCCTTTTTGTGTTCCATTTGGTAAGTATGGGCAGTCACATGCATAGTTGTGTAATAATCATAATCAAGATACAGAACATCCCATTATCCCTAAAAGTTCCCTTGAGTTACATTGCAGTCAATCTGTTACCCCAACCCTCAGCCCTAGGGAGCCACTGAACTGCCTTCTGTCACTGTAGTTTTGTCCTGTGTGGAGTGGAGAGCTCTTGATACTCGTCTGTTGCAACTACAGTTTGCTTTACCAATGAATGGGCATTTAGGTTCTTTCATCTTGAGGCTGTTATGAACACAGTGACCATAAACTGGCGTAAGTCCATGTGGGCTTCTTACACATTTTGTTAGATTTTGAGCAGAGAAGTGATAACCTGGTTTAATATGTTTGATAAAATTTGAAATTTATATAAAAGTTACAGAAATAATGCACAGAACTTCATAAACCCTTCTTATTACCCAATCAATATTTCTGAACCCTTTGAGAGTACAAGGCTACCTCAGAAAGGTATCCTTGACCTAATGACCTTATTACCGTTTAATACTTTAGTGTGGTTTTCATTAAGTACAAGGCCAATCTCCCATGTAACAACATACTATCCAAATCAGAAAGTAGCAATAAGCTCATTCAAGTTCACTGATGTTCTGTTAATGACCCAGGAATGTTGCGTTCAGTTGTCAAGTCTTCAGTCTCCTGTCAGTTCCTTAACCTGTCTTTGTGACCTTAATTTTACATGGAGATTATCCATTTATTTTTGGATATATCTGCACTATTAAAAATTATAAGCTTACAATGATACACTCAGCTTTCCATATCTGTGGGTTCCACAACCTTGGATTCAATCAACAACAGATTGACAGTATTTGGAAAAACATTGTACTGAACATGTAGACTTTCTTACTACTCTCTATAAACAATTTAGTACAATAATTACTTAGCATTTATATTATGTATGGTAAGTAATTTGAAGTGCATGGGAACTTTGAGTGGGTTAAATGCAAATACACTGTTTTTACATAAGGGACTGGAGCATCTGCAGATTTTGCTATCCACTGGTTCACTCCCCAGTACCTACAACAGCTGTGACTGGGCCAGGCTGAAGCCAGGAGCCTGGAAACAAATTCCAGATCTCCCACATGGGTGGCAGGGACCTAAGAATTTGAGTCATCACCCACTGCCTCCAAGGATGTGCAGGAAGCTGGGTCAAAAGCAGAGCAGGCTGTGAGAGCCCAGTGGAAAGAAGGGGCCATCAAAGAAGGAGGTGCCTTTCTCTGAAGGGAGGAGAGAACTTCCACTTTGAATATGGCCTTGTCTAAATAAGGTCGGAGTTGGTGAACTCACGAGGCTTCCAAAGCCTTGGCAGTTCATGACAAGAGCCTTGGGTGATTACTGACGTCATAAATAAGAGTGTCATTGTTAAATCAACAATAGGAGTCACTGTGCACCTGCTCCCCATGTAGGATCTCTGTCCTTAATGTGTTGTACTATGTGAACGGTATAACTAGTACTCAAACAGTGCTTTATACTTTGTGTTTCTGTGTGGGTACAAACTGTTGAAATCTTAATATATACTAAATTGATCTTCTGTATATAAAGATAATTGAAAATGAATCTTGATGTGAATGGCAGGGGAGAGGGAGTAGGAGATGGGATGGTTGCAGGTGGGAGGGAGGTTATGGAGGGAAAAAGCCGCAATAATCCAAAAGTTGTACTTTGGACATTTATTAAATAAAAGTTAAAGAAAAAAAAAAGCATAGCAGGAATGCAAACCCATGCATTCCCATATGGGAAATGGGCAACATCTTTACTGCGGGCCGCAGTGCTTGCCCCAGCTGCCGTGTTTCAGGCACAGCTGCTGGGAACAAATACTGGCTGCATCACTGCAAGTATAAACTCCACTTGTAAGCAAAATTTTGCTCCGCATCCTCTAGTTTCTGCCCACCGCAGAATTCTAGAACATTCCAGGCCTGGCAAGAATGCACTCTTTCTTTCCACACAATCGAATCACCAAGCATAGCTTCTTGTTAGCATGAGCCTTATTCACTAAGTTGTGATAGCTTACTATCACAATAAAAATGGCTTTATTTGCTATTTTCCTCTGCCTTGCAGGAGCCTGTATATGGAGTGGCAGTCTGGGTTCGTGTAGTCCCTGTTTCTTGATGTGCCCCTTAAACAGCAATACTTGTTCAACTCTCCTGCGTTGAGGGCTAGATTGAGGCAGACAGAGTGAAGCAGCTGTCGCATCAGGACGGAGGAGACCTCACCTTTGCTTTTGCTTTCCCAGAGAATACGTTTTAGCCCCTGGATTACGGAAGGCAAAATGTGCAGGTGTTCTGCTTAGCATAAATGATTTCTAATGCATCCTTCCCTTTGCTTGCTGTGAAGCAGGAAATACAGGATGTAAAAGCCAGGCGCTGATTAGTCAGTGATGAAGGGAAACAGCACTGGCCCACCGTCCCTCCTGGTGACTTCAGGTAAGATCAGCAGCTAATGGCTCTAGTAGTTGGGTTACTGCTGTCCATGTGGGAGATCCAGATTGAATTCTGGGTTCCTGCCTTCAGCTGTTGCAAGCATTTGAAGAGTGAACCAGGAGGTGAAAGATCTCTGTCCCTCTGCCTTTCAAATAAAATGAAAATAAATAAAATTTTTTAAAAAGAATTAAAGGATGCTGTATTCTTTTGGCAGCCTTAGTTATCTCACTTACAATCCAGATATTGAATAAAACAAGCTTGCAAGTCAGTGCCAACTATCAAAGTTCCTAACCTGAAAATAAGACATATGCACAGGTGCACAAATACACACACAACAGAAATCCTTACATACAAATCATAAAACTCCTATACACACAAACATACATATGTACACCCCAAACAAAAAACCCTTTTTATTATACAGTAAGGATAGGTTGCTTTATTAATTTACTCTTTGGGACAAAGTTATTTTTGTTTAGCACAAAATTCTTCAGTATGCCGAATTTTTGCCCCTTGTTTGGGGAGGTAACCATATTTGGGGGTGCGGGAGGAGGTGCTACCCTGAAACCTCATTGTCAACCAAGCAAGAGGAGGCATCCTGATGGATGGAGGAGGAGAGAGGGCCACCTTGTGGGAGACATGCAAGCCCCACACACTAGAGAGATCAAGAACTGCAGGCTGTCTCTCAGTAGAAAGTAAGCTCTTGAACTGGGGCCCCTTTAAATTCACTGCTGTACTGTAGCGCCCAGAATGGGGCCTGCCACATAGTAGGTTCTTAGTAAATACTTGTTGGCTGAATGGTGCTAGGCCCTAGCACTCAACTCAGGGGACTCCTAGCTGTGCCCCTCTCTCCATGAGAAAATGCCCAGCAGCAGGGGAAAGGGGGCAACATGAACCTCTAACTTCTGTGCCATCTGTACCCCACAAGCACTTGACACTGAATTGCAAAAGCCTTAGAGACAGGAGGAGGGGGGAAGATTGCCCTGTTTTCCTCCACCCACCTGCTTCTTCCTTTGCCTTTGGTAGGATCTGGATGTGACATGAACTAATGTGTGAGAATCCATCTCTGTCCAGGACAGACACGACTTCTAAGAATTCGACCATGAAGGATTTGTCAATGTAAGAGTGCTTTATTTATCTATCATGTGAATCCAGCTGGAATTAAAAGATAAGGCACATTTCCCAGAGACTCTCTGAAGTACCCTTGGTAGATCTCATATTTCCTTTTCTTTTTTCTTCATTTTTAAGGATTTATTTGTTTATTTGAAAGACAAAGTGACTGAGAAAGAGAACTTCTATCTGCTGGCTTGCTCCCCAAATGGCTGCTAGGGCCAGTCAAAGCCAGGAGCTCCCACGTGGGTGGCAGGGGCCCAAGTGCTTGAGCCATCATTCCCCACCTTCCCAGGTGCATTGGTAGGCAGCTGGATAGTTGAAAGAATGTGACATTGAACTAGAAAGTAAAAAACAGTTTAAATTGCTTATGCTTCTCTCAGTCCCGCTGTGCTGATGGATGCAATGAACCACAGTGAAAACAGCTTTAACAACAGTGGACCTGAACGGTGGTTCTGAATACCACTTTTGTGTGAAATACAGAGTTTGACTCTCTTTGGAACATCAGATGCTAATCAGCCTTTGGAGCCAGGTCACCTGTTAGGAAAGCGGAGGGGCCCTGGGCCCTTTCCATTGGCCCTGTGTATTTATCCAGAGGTCTGGCTTTCGCATAAAAGACAGAGCCACTGAAGGCAGTCCCCGCTTGCAGACCAAAAGCGCTGGCCAAAACAGCCAAAAGGGAAGATGGCAAGAACATTGGTCCTTTGGCTCCTGGGTCTCGTGGCTGTGTGTGCCGTGCACGGGATATTCATGGACAGACTGGCTTCTAAGAAGCTGTGTGCCGACGACGACTGTGTCTGTAAGGGCTCGCTTAATGCTCCTCCTGCTCTTTCTCTGCTGAATGACTGAAACCTATCCGCTGACAGCATGAGATGGAATTGTACTGCGCAGTGAATCTTCTCCAACGTGCGTGTGATTAGCAGGGCTTCTCCAGGTCTGGACTTTCAGTCCTTTGCTGTCTGTCTGCAGAGAATGCACTTGGCTAAGATTTTGCTGCAGCTTTAATATCTTGGCAAGCTTAATCTTCTCGAATTGAATCCCGGCTGTGAAATGGGCAGCATCCGGCTCTCTGCCTTTCCACTTCTCTTACACTTGTATGCTTTGCCTTTTTTGACTGTTGGTAAAATTCGGGGGCCTAAAATGTAGTCACTTCAATTTTCCCTTTCCTTCTAGATGCTATTTCTCTGGCTCGAGCTCAAGAAGATTACAATGCCCCGGACTGCAGATTCATTAACATCAGCAAAGGGCAGCAAATCTACGTGTACTCAAAGCTAGTGAGAGAAAACGCAGCTGGAGAGTTCTGGGCTGGCAGTGTAAGAAGAGATTCTTAAAAACAGGAGGGGCTTCCAAAAGTTGGTGGAAAATAACATTAAAATAAGTTTATTTTGATGCAAAGATATATTACATGCATGCCTAGTTTTTCATAATGCATAATTTCCATGAACATTTTGAGAAAGTTCCCTTGTGTATACACATTGCTCTTAAATTTGCCCTCAATAACCTGTTGTCAACCTATTTCAATGCTTAGAAGTAGCTAAGACCAAGGTAGAGGTTTTTGAAACTACGGCAAAAATGTAGGTATAGTTGCTGTGATTTTAGTTCAAAGAAACAAAGATAATTTCATAAGAAAACCAAATACAGGTGATATTATGGCAAGGGGGGGAAAAGCCAAATGCACTGGGTTTTGGACATTCCAAGGACTTTGAATCTTACTCCAAAATGTGTTAGAGGACTGGCCAAGTAGAAGACACGAGTGCTGGAAGGCAGCCCAAGTTTCAGATTCTTTTAAGAAACTTTGGCACTCTCTTTAATTTAAAAGAATCTGTTTTCTTCAGTAAAAACGTACAAGAGTGATCGCTGGGGAGGGATGAAGTAGGCCGGGTTTTACTGTCCTTATCTGCAGCCCCAAAGATAGTTTTTAACATAATAAAGAACTAACTTTAAGTGCATTCAAGTATCTATGTGTGGGAATTGTTAAAAACTGAGAAACACACATCCTTTAAAATAGAAGTGTAAATTCACTGTTCTAAAAAACTTGCTAACTTTATTTATTGAGGAGTTCCAAAAAGAAATCAGGCAACTTGCAAGGTCGCAGACAGAGTAATGCTGCACGCGTGTGGGTTCACTTAGTGCTGTGAGGGAACTCCAGGGTTGGCTGTGAGCCCCCTGGAGCCCACGGGGAAAGTGAAGGACTGGCAGTGATGTTATTCTCAGTATCAGCAAAGAGGATGCCTGTGCCTTCCTCGGAAGACCCTCCCACCAGCTTTCCCCTGATTGCTACTCTTCTGCCTCTCAGGTGTACAGTGACAGCCAGGATGAGATGGGTATCGTGGGCTATTTCCCCAGCAATTTGGTTAAGGAGCAGCACGTGTACCAAGAGGCCACCAAGGAAGTACCCACCACGGTAAGCACCTCGGAAGGGACCAGAGAAGGACTCAAAGGCTTGTGTCGAAACTGCACCGTGCAGCTTCCAAGGTGTGCCGAACAAAGCCCCCAGCTTCCGGCTTCCGCTGTCTTCCGAGACACTGAGTTTGGGAAGGGCTCTGTAACTACCATCCGTGTTGAAAGTTTGTGAATTTTCTCCATACAACCCTCTTGGTTTTGTTTCAGTTTATTTTCTAATGTTTTAATTTTTTTTAGCTTTCTTGGGGGCGTATAATTGGCAACAAGGATGTATATATACTTAGGACATACAGTTTGAAGTTTTAATATCACGTGCATCGTGAGATGATCATCACAATGAAGCTAGTTAACATTCTGTCCTGTGTGTGTGTGTTTCTGTGTCGAAAGCACTTAAAATCTACCCTCTTAGCAGATTTCAAGTGCACAAAATAGTACCGTTTTTTGTTTTAGATGAAAGTTATCCTGCAAAGGAGTCCATATCGCAAAGAAAGAAATCAAAATAGTGTTCACTGACTGATCATTTCCATTTATCTACTAATGACAGGCTGGGGGGAAATGAGCACCTGTTCTTTTGAGAAAATCAAAACATTCTAGAAAAACCTTTGAATGCTTTATTTTTGTGGTGGGTGCATTGTACTTTTCCATGAAATCAAGTCACGCTCTTAGTAATGCCCTGGGGTCCTGTAAACTCCTGGCAGAAATAAAAGATCCTTTGTGAGCCACTCTGCAAGTGGGTTTTTGAAGTCATTCTCCTGGAGCTAATTACTGTGCCTCCAGCAGCCCAGCCTACACACGTACACCCCGCATGTCATGGCTCCTTAGCACTAAGCTGGCATCCACCAAATAACCATAAATTAAAAGTGTATTAGATGACTTTCTTGTTAAGGAGTTTTTGACTTACAGTCATTATTATGTCATACTAGTCAACATTTACTTCCCCCTTTTTTTTTTTTTGACAGGCAGAGTGGACAGTGAGAGAGAGAGAGAAAGGTCTTCCTTTTTGCCGTTGGTTCACCCTCCAATGGCCACCATGGCTGGCGCGCTGCGCTGATCCAAAGGCAGGAGCCAGGTGCTTCTCCTGGTCTCCCATGGGGTGCAGGGCCCAAGCACTTGGGCCATCCTCCACTGCCTTCCCGGGCCACAGCAGAGAGCTGGCCATACATTTACTTCTTTTCAATTAAAATTTCTCTTTTTGACTAAGCTTGATTTTCGATAAAGAACCCACATCTGTTCTCTGGTGCAGCCGGTCCAGTTCCGTATTTTTGTTTTTGTTTTTTTTTCAGGCTGTTGACTTCTTCTGTGAATAAGAAATCAATCAAAATAGCAGAGAGAAACACCCAAAATAAAGACAAGATGGAATACACCAAAAAAATGCATATCTCTAATGTTGGACCTTGGTTTCAAGAATTTGTTACAGTACAGAGGGGCTGGGTTTGCTGCTGGAGGTGACAAGAAAATGGATTTTCAACTCTGTCTTGTCTTCTGCTGGCCTCATCATCCCACAAACTGGGACAGGGCAATGTTTGACCCAAAGGAGTGAACTGACACCGGAGAACTAAATTGCCATCAAGAGAATCTTCTCTTAGGTGGGGACGCATAAATAAGATGGTTTGTTTGTAATTATTTCTAAATAGTAATTCTGGCCAGCTCTTTGTCTTTTCTGTATATAAATTTGGGGAGTCTCAGGTCTTCCCTTAGGGTGTGGTGTTTTTCACTTCTCTCTCTCTCTGGCCTGTTGAAGCATTAATAATGTAACCAAAGAGGCTGTGTCATCTAGGAATATGCCAGTAATTTTCTTCTTTTTCATATTTGATGACTTTAGATATGGAGTTTTTGGAGGGGAAAATCGAGATTTTAGACCTAGCAATGTTTTCAGTTGAATGCCTTCGCTTACAAATGATCCATTTACCTCTCCCTAAGTGTTAAATACATATGGATGCATACTGTGTGTGAGGAGGTTGGCTTATGGAAATGTTTCTAATGGAATAATTTCCACTTCCTATGTAACTTCACTGGATAATGTTCAAGTTTCCAGTCACCAAAAGACACAGCATTAAAAAGTCTGTGGGGTTTTTCTCTGCTTTTTTATGTCAATTTTGAAGTTCTTTTTCCTGGGAAAATTCCCGCAGTCAGGTGTGATGAATCCTAAATCTGTTATGGGGCTGCAGGCTTCACAGTTTGATGGGTCTAACAGCTCTCTCCGTATCTAATTGACTACACAAATGCTTTTTGTGTTCCTAATGTAATTCTTTTGATGTAGCCAAGAACTTGTATTTGTTTACATGAAATGCCTTAATTATATTCAAAAATTTCACAATTTTGGAGGTTTTTTTTTTTAACATTTTTCACTGTGGGGGATAGAAAGTGTGGGGTCTTGAGAATGGGGTTTATCTCCCCAGTTTCCTGTGGTCTGGTCATCCCTCAAGTGTAAGGAAGAGACCATTTAGGGGGGTCAGAGGCTTGGGTCCCAGGGCCATTTTTAGGTGCATTTCCTGTGACTTTGGGTGAATATCATTTCCCAAAGCCTACAGAAACAAATTAAGTAAAATAGTGTCAATAAAACTAAACAAAAAGTCAAGGTTTGTTTGCTTCTGTCTCACTTTATTCCATTTCTACCAGCATCTCAGTCACTGGCGCCTCCATTCCAGACACCCAGCACCCCTGGAGACACCCAGCACCCATATGCCCCCACAGCACACTGTTTCACAGTAAACTAACAATCAAAAGTATAATATAGCAAATTTATAAACCAGGAACAGAGGTTTCTTGTCCTTATCAAGTATTCTCTGCTATCTATGACTGTATGTGCAGTAGGTTTGCTTACGCCAGCACCACTACCAACACATGAGAAATGCATTGGGCTGACATTACTATGGCTATAGTGTCATAGTATGGCTACTAGGGGATAGGCATTGTTCAGCTACATGATAATCTTATGGGACTACTGTTGTACACGTGACCCATCACTGACTGAGACATCAGTATAACGTTGTTGTGGCACAGTGGGTGAAGCTGCCACATCGGACTGGTTCGAGTCCCCAGTGCTTTGCACTTCCAATTCAACTCACTGCTAACACTTCTTGGATGCACTGGATGATGGCCCAAGTGCCTGGTCTCTGACCACCCATATGGGAGACCTGGGTGGAGCTCCTGGTTCCTGGCTGTGGCAGTCATTTGAGGAGTGAATCAGAAGATGGAGTCTCTCTCTCTCTCTTTCTCTCTTTCTCTCTCTCTCTAATCTCTGCTGCTTTCTCTGATGATTTCCCTTTCAAATAAATAAATGAGCCAGTCTTTGAAAAATAGAAGCTATTGTATTAAGTGAAAGATGACGTCAAGGTTAGGGGAATACATGTACGGGTCTAACAGCTTTTGGCATTATTTCACGTTGTGAGGGATGATGGCTCAGGCTTTCTATTTATTGTTTGTGTGACGAGGCTCACGCCATCTAGCCCCTTGCATCCGAACTCACTCATCTACAAAGTTAGAATGATAATGTCTTTGGGGGTAATAACATTATTACTGGGGGTGATTATGAGGATTCAATGAAATGAGACATCATACTTAAAATCATCCAGCATGGTGCACAATACACAGCAGGTGTTTAATAAATGGTAGTGAAGTTAGATTAAAAATGAGAGAGATTTAAAATGTTTTAAAAACCTTTAAGGAACTACTGTTTCCAAAAACGTGAATTAGGGCCCGGTGCTGTGGCGCAGAGTTGGTTAAAGCCCCAACCTGCAGCGCCGGCATCCCATAGGGGCGCCGGTTCGAGTTCTGGCTGCTTTAGTTCCAATCCAGCTCCCTGTTAATGTGCCTGGGAAAGCAGCAGAGGATGGCCCAGGTGCTTGGGCATCTGTACCCATGTGGGAGACCTGGAAGAAGCTCCTAGCTCCTGGCTTTGGATTGGCACAGCTCTGGCTGTTGCAGCCATTTGGGGAGTGAACCAGGGTGGAAGACCTCTCTCTCTGTCTCTACTTTTCCCTGTAAATCTGTCTTTCAAACAAAGTAAATATTTAAAAAATGAATTAAAAGTATATTCAAGTATCTTTTCTTCCCAGAGCACTCTTATTTTTCTCCATAGCTCTTGACAAAGGTGTCAGCAAGTCATGTTGCAAGTACTTAGCCTGAAGATTCAAACACACACACATACGAGCTTGACAAGTGTTATTTATTATTATTATTATTAATATCATTATTGTTGTTATTTTTATATTTCCTTGTTTGAAAGGCAGAGTTACAGAGAGAGGGAGAGACAGAGAGAGAAATGATCTTCCATCTACTGGTTCACTCCTCAAATGGCCACAATGGCTGGGGCTGGCCAGGCTGAAGCAGGAGCCTGGGACTCCATCCATGTGGATGGCAGGGCCCAAAGTACCTGGGCCATCATCTGCTGCTTTCCCAGGCACATTAGCAGGGAGCTGGATTGGAAGCCTAGAAGCTGGAACTCGAAGTGGTGCTCATATGAATCTGGTGTCACAGGCCGGGGGCTTAACCCACTACGGCAAAACACTGGGCTGTACAAGTGTTAGTCTTAAAGTCTGGGGTAGTACATACTCCCTGCCTTTGTCATCAGGGAAGCATCTCAGATACTTTAAAAAAATTTTTTTAAAGAAACCTAAGCAAAAGAGAACAAACCAGGGAGGCATTGTGCTCTCTCTCTCTCTCTCTCTCTCTTTAAAGATTTATTTATTTGAGAGATAGAGAGAGAGAGAAAGAGAGAGTTCTTCCATTTGTTGATTCACTCCCCAAATGGCTACAATGGCAGGAGCTCAGCCAATCTGCAGCCAAGAGCCAGGAGCTTCCTTCAGGTCTTCCACACGGGTGCAGGGTCCCAAGACTTGGACCATCTTCAACTGCCCTCCCAGACGCATTAGCAGGGAGCTGGATCAGAAGTGCAGCAGCTGGGACATGAACCTGTGCCCCTATGAGATGCTGGCGCCACAGGTGGAGGCTTAGCCTAATATACTACAGCACCAACACCAGCATTTCTCTCTCCTAAGCCCCAAAGTATTCCTTTTTTGTCCTTTCCTCCCTCACCTACTTGGGAACTTGAGTGATGCTGCAGATGGCAAGAAGCCACCCTGAGTCTCCCTGCTGTCCTGTGCCCAGCCAATAGCGACTTCCCTGGACTTCAGCTGTCCTTTTTGAGGGCTTGTCCTTGCGATGACTATA